AGCAGTTGACTAAAGAGAGCAGCCACACTGTTCACAAAACAACTCTTCCAGCTGAGAAATGCACTAGGCATGAGACATCATCCCCACTAGGAAGAACTACATTGGTACCCTCAGCACACGGCTCTGGTCAGCACTGCAGTTCACAGCAATTATGCAATTGTCCTCTGTACAGGGGAAAAAATAGACATTAAATATGGATTGTGTTCAGTTTTATTTGTATGAAATCTCATGCTGTATTTAAAGCTGGTGAATCTAATCCTTGGGGTTTTTTTTATTTCTCTGCATCTTCCTGCTTCTATCTTCCCATGTTCTTACATTTCTGCTGCAGTTATTACATTAACAAAAAGTGGGGATGACTCCTGTATAATAACATTTTACCTGAAACCATGCTGTGCTGGGAAGATGGTAATTTAGTTAATTGAATTCCCTCTAAAATGGTACTGAATCAATATTCCAGCACAGTGCTGGCAACACGTAGCTGGCAATGAAGTATTGCATGTAACATTTGTGGTCAAACCAATATCTCAGGGCACTGACTGCAAGGATTTGAAGTTTTAGTCTCAGGTTTAGATGTAAACCTCCAAGAAAGTGCCTGACCCACCGGGATACAAGCTGTTCTCTGAGTCTTGTCTGAACATGATTTACAGCCTAGTCTGTGTATTTTGGAAACCGTTGTCCATCAGACTAGCAGTAAAATGGAAAAGTACTGAGGAAGGCAGCTCAGGTACAACTCAGTAGGGAAGCTGTTTTGCCTGGACTGAGACCAAGGATCTGCACTGTACCAGCGCAATACACTCCATGGAGGGATGCTTGCTGTGGGAGCAGTTTTTTTGGAACGGCAACATCTGTGAGCTCTTCCTGGTGCTCCTGCACAGGGACAGAAAGGGTGAGACCTTGTCGGGCTTATTGGCATCCACTGTCTCACTCTTCTAGGAATGAACTTATGTCCTTGAGGAACACAGCAATCAGACCTCATCAGTATGTCTGGTCAAACCACTTACCCCAGAGAAAAATGACCTCTCAGAGGGGCCAGAGCCCTCGTCCCAGGCACACAACTTGCTGATGTGTGAAGCACATCAGACATGACCCCAGATGATTTTAGAAACTCTCTAGGGAAGTGACCTTGGGGGCAGAGAACACATTTTACAGCTAAATTTATCATAACCACTCAGCTGGGCCTTCTGGGCTGCACGTCTCACTGGCAAGCTGGGACATCACCCTGTAAGAGGGTCTGGGTTTGTCCAAAATGGTGGAGCAGGTGAGTGTTTGTGGTGGCAAGGTTGGGGGTGAGGTCTGGCGTGCCCCTCCACTGCGGAAGTGCAGCCAGAGAGTGACCAAGGGGAAGAAACAATTGGGAAGGAGAAAAAAGCTTTATGTCTGGGACTTGGATCAATGCAAACAGCATAAATAATGGCTGAGACACCTTCCTCCTGCTGGCTTTTCCACTGTGAGGGAATTACACACTGCCTGCAAAATGTCTTTCTTGAGCTGGTATGGAGCCAACCTCAGAGCATGTGCTTGGCCAGAGCAAATTCATTAGCACAGGGGAAATGGCTGCAAGCCCTTTTGTTTGGGCTGTGTCACTTTTCATCACAGAAAGTAGTTCTGCAACTAGTATTTTAAGGTTTCTGCTGTCTCAGCAGCCTGTGGTACCACTTCAAGCTTCACTGGGAAAACAGCTGGAGCTGCTGGTCCCATCGAAGTTCCTTCAGGTTATGGTCTTCTTGAGGGCTGAGCACCCCAACTTGGCCTTTCCTTGTCTGTCCTGTGCTCCAGTGCCAACCATCCTGGGGACCTCTGCTTTCCTGTCCACATTAGTCATGAAGACTGATGTTTAAAGGCCATATTCCTTGCACTTACCTCCCTGTGAGGCCATGTCTCCACCTGGTTTCAACCATGCATAGAGGCTGTGTGATGTGTCTGTAATGCAGATCACAGCCGCAGTACTTCAGGTGTTTTTTCTAAAGGGCCTTCACACCCTCCTGCAAGGATGAACTGGACGAGCCTTGTACACACAGCCAACAGCTCCCCAGGAGATCACTACACTGGTATTTAGAAAGTTTTCCATTTTCGGTGAAGACCCAAATCAACATCTCATTGTTCCCAGGAAGCTGTTCCCATCACTTCAGGGGAAGTGACTTCTTTTCAGGTTGATCTTAGGCACTTCGCAGCCATTAGACCCTATTGGGTCTTTACCCGCGCTAATTCTCCCCAGGGCTGGTTTGGCAGGACTGAGATGCCAGCTTAGGTGATGCCAACCAGCCTGGCCAGAGTGGTCTGGCCATTGCTACCCTCACCACCCAGCCCTGTCCCCATGCAGGGAACAGCATGTGCTGGAGCTGCCTCCTTGGGAACAAGGAGAAGGTCAGAGGGGGAAAGTCCCGTGTAAGCTGTGGAATGAGTGGTGGAGAACTTGAAGAGGAGCTGAAACAGGTAAGGAGCAGCTTTAGGCTGGGCGATTTGGCAGTGCATGGGAACTGCTAGCCACTGCGTGACCTCTGCCATGACTTCACAGGCTGCAAAGAAGCTGCTTCTGCTCAGGATTCAGAGCAGGATGCAACCGACTGATGGCAAGGCTCGGCTGAGCTGACTGTCTGAGGAAAGTCCGGCTGTCCCTGCCCTGGCTACTTCATCACCTGAGCAGCAGCAGCTCAGCTCCCCTTGCTTCTAGATGAACTTATGGAGGTAAGTCCAAGTGAGGACCCATCCACCCTCCTTGCAGGCTTACAAACCATGGGAGTTCAGCAGCTGCTAGGTGGACAGCTGACCTGCTGAGGTACCCAGGCTCAAAGGCAGAGGTGGGGTGAGCAGCTGGGGGGAGGAACGACTGCTGCTCCCAAATGCCATGCTGTGCTCTGCCGCTGGACACAGGGATGCCAGAGCTGCTGCTCTTGCCACATGCAAGCTTAAAACCGGGCAGAAATCCCCTTCCCAGGCTTGATTTCCCAGTATCAAAAGCATGTCAGCACCCATAACTCCCCTTCAGAGCTGCCCCAACATGGGTACCCTGCTTTGCTCCACCACCAGGTCCTGACTAGAGCCATGTACAGGCAGGGGATGAGTCCCATGGGGCCTGGCCTGCTCACCTCTTCACAGAATGTTCTTCCTTCACAAAGCCTCCAAGTCTGCATACATGGATGGGGCTGTGGATGGCACCTCCTGCAAGGCAGTGCAGACGGCCTTGCTCTGGGAATTTTGCACCTCATTTTTGCAGCCGGGCAATGGAGTCAGCGAAGGGTTAAAGCCCCCCCCTGCCCCGAGCAACAACTTTTCAAAGGAGGAACATTGGATCTCCGAAAGAGCATTTAGGGGCACAGCCAGCCACGAACTCCCTCTGATCTGCTCAAAGGAGGGCTAATATCCCCCTCCGCCCTCACCCCCAGCCTGCCACTGGTAGACACTGGTAGACCCTCACTGGGGTGAGGCTGAAACCAGCCCAGAAGATGACAACCTCTTCCCTCTCCTGTGTTTTAAAAAGCAGGCGGCTAGGATGCAGATGGTGCAATGTTGTGCGTTGGCAGGGAGTGAGCCCGCCCAAGCCACGTGCGTGCCCCCAGCACATCCCTTGCAGTGTGGGTAGTGCCAGCACCACAGCCAAGGTACCTGTAAAATAACCCGTCGGTTATTTACGGAGCCTGGCCCCTAACAGATGACCACGGAGGTGGGTATCTAGCTGGAAAGCCTGGCACTGCCACCCAGGCAGCGCTGCAGCCAGCTCTGCCCATGCCTGGGATCTGGGTGGCAGCGCCTGCACCCAGCCTCATGCACCCAACCCCATCCCAGAGCTGCCATCCCATCCTGGAGCCCAGCCTGTTCCCAGGGATCGTTACCAGGAGCTCCTGTGTTTGGTTGCAAACAGAGCAGGAGAGGGAGCCAGGCGCTCATGTTTGTGTGCCTGTGGTTGCTCAGGCAACTTGGGGCCAGCCAGAGGCTGCCAAAACCACCAATGGCCAGGGTTGAGCCCATGGCACGGCTGCCCTGGGGCGGCATGGCCAGCCGAGCCTCCCACCATCCGGCTGGGTGAGCGGGCAAAGGGGCTCTCACTGCTCGGTCCCGCTGAACACAACCAGACTGGGGGCATCAGTGCGGATGGGGTTTTATTGCAGCACGGGTCTGCAGCATCCTTTGGTTTGGGCTTCACAAAGGCGGCGGGAGGCCATGGGGGTTCAAGTCAGAGACCTTTGCTGATGGCCAGGCAACACCAAGCTCTCCCGGGGTGCATCCCAGGGCTGGGCCGGGAGCATCCTGGCAGCAATGGCACTAACAGCACCACAGGGTCTGAGCTTCCTGCGGTGCTGGGCAAGCAGCAAAGCCGGGCAGCCCCGTGGTGAGGGCACTGGTGGGGAAGGAAGGAGGCAGCTGTGGTGTAACTGGTGCAGGGTTAAGGTAAGTCCCCAGGAGGTCTGCAGGGAAGACAGGCTGCAGTCCCCAGTGGGACTGGCAGGGAGGGTGCCCTGAAATCTGGGGCTGAGGTAGGGAAGGTCTGGGTGCCAGCTGGCCAGGGGAGCCCTAAGGAGCAGTGCTGTTAGTACGGCGAGCACTGCCAGCGGCAGGGGGCTGGGGGAGACAGCACAGTGCAGGGGCGGGGGG